GAGGAATCATTTCGATTGACTAACTGCCCAGACATCGGAAATGACGCCTCATGTCCAGGATGTGACGTCAGACAACAAGATGGCGCTAACCAAGTGAGCTATTGACCGCTGCGATATTGACCGTCTCTAAACTCCCCAACAGAAAAAAAAAAGCCTTTAATCTTGGATGAAATTGGACTCATCTTGATTAGAGCTAGCGCCGCTCAGTGGAATGGTCTCATTTCCTGCTCGCGGACTGACTTCAGACAATGCACAACCAACTGGCGACACAAATCCTTGCGCATAGGGATGGCCTCTATGTTAGCAGAGAGGGGATATGTTAAAGCTCACACATCCGTTAGATGTCCATACATGATATCACTCACCTAGAGAAAGGGTTGGGAGGGGGGGGTAGCCCCTTTATTTTTTTCTCTTTGTCTAAGTGGAGAATGGAGTGTAAAAGTTAATAAGTATTTATAGCGTATATCATTATCTTTTAGAAGAAAGTTATGAAGCAACATGCTCATCTTCGTTAGGATTATTAAGGTTGAGGGCTGGTAGAATTTGTGACGTCATTTTATGGGAGAATCGTCCGGCTAGGGGGGGGGGGGGGAGAAAATGACAAATTAGATCATAGACGCTATGTGTAGAGATTTATGAAACGCGACTTTCATCATTCGATTGTTACAATGTAAACAAATATGGGGGTAAACAAATATGGGGGTAAACAAATATGGGGGTAAACAAATATGGGGGTAAACAAATATGGGGGTAAACAAATATGGGGGTAAACAAATATGGGGGTAAACAAATATGGGGGTAAACAAATATGGGGGTAAACAAATATGGGGGTAAACAAATATGGGGGTAAACAAATATGGGGGTAAACAAATATAGGGGTAAACAAATATGGGGGTAAACAAATATGGGGGTAAACAAATATAGGGGTAAACAAATATGGGGGTAAACAAATATGGGGGTAAACAAATATGGGGGTAAACAAATATGGGGGTAAACAAGTATGGGGGTAAACAAATATGGGGGTAAACAAATATGGGGGTAAACAAACATAGTAGAAAACGTTTCAGCTTGTGAAAAGTTCATACCTTAAATTGTTTATCTTTATATTTTCTATTTTTAAATGAACCACATTTACAGTAATGAAAATACTACAGCATATATTTTATGTGGTTTTTGCCGTTGTCATTTAGTTTCGACAGAGATGGCATTTGTAAAAACGGATTGTTAAGTAAAAAAAAATCCGATGATGCTCTTTAGTTACATACAGTACTTGTCTACAAAGTATTTCTTCAGCTGCGAGTGTCGGTCAAAGGATTCACCCTAGACACAATTTTACTTTCAACAGGCTGCCCACCCACACATCCTCTGGGATTAAGACCGGCTACTTATCATGCTATGGTAAAGCTGGGGGGGGGGGGGGTGAGATATGGAATAAAAAATCCATCCTTGTCTTACGGTAACCCTATGATCCTCTTAGATGATGCACCTCTCTGATGATGCACCTCTCTGATGATGCACCTCTCTGATGATGCACCTCTCACATGATACACCTCTCACATGATACACCTCTCACATGATGTACCTCTCACATGATACACCTCTCACATGATGTACCTCTCACATGATGCACCTCTCACATGATGCACCTCTCACATGATACACCTCTCACATGATACACCTCTCACATGATACACCTCTCACATGATACACCTCTCACATGATGTACCTCTCACATGATGCACCTCTCACATAATGCACCTCTCTGATGATGCACCTCTCTGATGATCCACCTCTCACATTATGCACCTATCAGATGATGCACCCATCAGATAATGCACCTCTCTGATAATGCACCTCTCAGTGCGCGCTGTAGTGATTGTATTATTTGAATACTTTTTGATTGATTTCCATAGTCGCTCGATTTCTTCCATAGTATCGTAGACAACGATACCATGGGCCTTTTCGTTCGATATCAATTACGAGCTTCTACAGATTGAGAGGGTGGGGGAGGGGGCAACACAGAAATGATTAATGGGTATAAAAGGGGCATCAGTCTAAAGATTTGCTGGAGTCTCGAATTTATTGCCGTGCTTGGACCCATACATATGTGGATATGTACATTGGCTCATGCACAGCTATGGCCTCTTGGCCACAACTATGGCCACTTGGCCCAAACTGCTATGGCCACTTGGCCCATATAACAGTTAGGGCCACTGTTAGCCCTCTTTCGATGCACTCACTGCACCTACACCTTTGTACAAACGATTAAAATCAAAAGAAACGATTAAAACACACAGAAACTGCACCAAACACAGAGGGACTAGTCGCAATAAACAAAGGGCTCCTAAGCGGGATAACTGCTACTGTCCAGGAGTTACCTCCCGTCTAACAACATTACGACAAACTCTGCAGGCTGACCCACAACAAGTCGTTTGTCTCGGTCAATTTATCAACCACGCTAAAGTTGAATCAACATTCTTATAAGTGGGGGACGGGGATGAGGCTAATCACATTAAAGCTTCGCTAATTGCAAGTATCAAATCAATATATATATATATATATATATATATATATATATATATATATATATATATATATATATATATATATATATACATAGTATGTATAAATTGATTATATATATATATATACATAGTATGTATAAATTGATTATATATATATATATATATATATATATATATATATATATATATATATATATATATATACATACATACATATATATATAATATGGCCTTACTGAAAATATCACGATGTAGTTATTGTAAAGAGAGAAATACTCACTTGCTTTAAGCTGTAAACATTTGACAACTCTGCCATTCGATATAGAAATTATCCGTTTCTTACATTGTAATTCAACTCTTGAAATATTAATTCTAATTTAACGAACATATTTTTTTCTTAATACTTTTTTTTTTACATTCATGTGGATTCTGATGTGGAAATTTACATTAGTGATATTATTTTTCTAGCCCACATAGAAGCCCACAGTTAGAGTGACATTTAAAGTGCAGTTAAATGTTGTGTTCTGCACGAGTAGGCAACACAACGCTACAACCTACAAGCTCTTCAGCGAGTGGAGATCAGATAACCGCGGGACTCGCTGCCGCCATGATGGTTTTATTGGAGATGGGCAGACGGCGAGCCAGACGACTAGATGCGCGCGATTCCTTCGATACTGACGTAACGTAGGCATAACGGAAACGGTGGTCTGGCGTGACGTATGACGTTAACTTTGGACTGACGGAATCGTCACGATAAGGTGGCTCTAGATGGACGTAATAAACCTGATATTTTAGTGATGATATGGCGTAGGCTTGCTGAGTAACTTGGAACTGGCGTGACGAAGTGACGTGACGTAGTCGTCACGATAACTTAGCACGGACGTAACTTAATCATGACGTAACGAAGGCTTTACAACTTAGCGACGAAAACGTGGATCTAACACAATGTATTAAATGAATCATTTGATATATACAGAAGTGTATGTGTGTGTGAGAGTGTGGGAGCAGTACTTATAGATCTGTTCAGAAGGTGCATGTGTATTTATGTGCCTTGGTGTGGGAGTGGCTAACGGTATTGCGACACTGCCCTATTGTGGAACTCGAGAAAACAGAAATCAAAAGAAAAGAAAACGACACCTGGTGTCATTTTGAATTAATTTTTTCTTTGTTTGCTTTCAGCTCTTTTGTAATCTTTTAATTCCTGACTAATTTATGTAGGTTGTTTAGTGTGAGAGGTTTGCATGACAGTTTGAATGTCTTCCAATGCTTGTCTACATGTATGCCAGCAAGTTCACACAATTTTATAAGTACGTTCACACTCGGAACAATTTTCCAGCAATAGACAAGAGTATCAAATGACATGCATCGTACTGTGTTACAGAGATTCTTTCTATTTTGGGATGTGCAGAAGTTTAATCAGCCTCGCCCACGCCAGTTTTTTTTTTTTTACTGCTGGTCTGGCTAGTGTTGTCGTCTGTCATACGTGATGTTGGTCTGTCATTAGGCAGTAATGGTATATAATTAGAATCTCATGAGACAATGTGGGGTGACATGACAGTTGACATAAAACTTTGTGGGGGTGACATGACTTAGTTGTCATGAGACAATGTGGGGGTGACATAACAGTTGTCATGAGACAATGTGGGGGTGACATGACTTAGTGGTCATGAGACAATGTGGGGGTGACATAACAGTTGTCATGAGACAATGTGGGGGTGACATAACAGTTGTCATGAGACAATGTGGGGGTGACATGACTTAGTGGTCATGAGACAATGTGGGGGTGACATGACTTAGTGGTCATTAGACAATGTGGGGGTGACATGACAGTTCACTAGTATAGAGTATGGTATTTATGGCGAGACAATAGAATAACTGGACCATAGCGCACAATCTGATTACTATTTGCTGTCGAACTTAACACAATAAGTGAACGAGACCTGGTCAGAAGAGTTATAATAACTTTAACTACTAACAGACTTAAAAACTTTTTTTAAGAAACTAAAAATGTGCATGTGTAAAACGTGGTAAAGTATTTGTAGAACAGGGTAACACTAGGTTGAGAATACTACAGCTGAGCCTCTTTATGAGGTGTTGACAAAACGTTACATAGACGTGAAAGTGAGCTGGTCCTGCTGAGTTTACGTTGGAGTGATCCAGACAGGGGCGCAACTCTTAAAATTAGATGCCCAAACAAATTATTTGAATTGCGTCCCCTATCTTTTAACTTTAAAAAGAGCTAAAGCAAAATATACTACTAAGATTTTTACTACCTTTATTGACCAGAAAGTCCTTTTCGATGTTGATTAAAGAATAACAGTCACTGAACCAGACCAGCAATATAATATTTAAATATTTGACTTGTGAAAAGATTAAGTTTTAACATCAAGCTATGGTGTAGTGTTGGGTAATGCATTAGGTTAGTACTATGTTTAGATTTTAATTAGGCTGTCTTGTAAGAAAGGACAAAGTTCAGTGGTTGCATAATTTATTATTGAATTATAAACAGTAATAAAAAAATGACACATTTGTATAAAAAATAAATTAAGTACATATAATTTATAAATAAATCCCTAAATAAACATGGCAGTTAAAATTTACATTCTGTAACTATGGCTTTATAATTTATAAAAATAGACAATTTTTGTTGACATTTCACTAGATGACATTATGTGACATTAAAAGTTGTGTTCATCTGATGTGTCATCTTCCTCTCCGTCACTAAAGATGACAGCAGTCAGGGACTTTAAGTCTTCCAGAACATTCCCTATACCATCTGGCAAAACATTTCATATTGGATCATTAAATAATGGAAGACATTTCTTAAAATTAAGAAAGTTATATTAATGTTTTGAGGGAGAAAACTGACCTTTTTTCTGGACACTGGTATGCAGATTATCTTTGTCGGGGAACAAGACATTTTCTGAGGTCTCAAGATCTGTCTCATGGAAGTCTTGATGCTCTTTGTGATCTTCTGGCTGATACAGATCTGTGTCATTTGGTTCCTGTAACCGGCTGGAGTCTTGTAACCGGTACGGTTCACCCCTTTCTGTTTTCAATTGGCCAATCAAACCTTCCTGCCTTAAAGTGGCCTGTCATGATGGATTATGGTCAGTTTTAAGCTGTCAAATGTAACCTTAAAGTGGCCTGTGATGATGGATTATGGTCAGTTGTAAGCTGTCAGATTTCAATGTCAAAAAACTAGATAACTTTTAACATGTTTAATCCTAACTAATAAAGTTTAAACTGTCAAAATGTACAATGACCAAGATGTCTAAAAACGACTGTATCTAAACTGAAAAAATATTCCACCCATTTACTTAATGATGACCCAACAGCCAACACAAACATCAGCCCACCACCATTAACCCCACACCTAACCACATGACACCATTAACCCTACATCTAACCACATGACACCATTAACCCTAACTGTTCCCCACACCTAACCACATTACACCATTAACCCAACACCTAACCACATGACACCATTAACCCTACACCTAGCCACAATTAACCCTACATCTAACCACATGACACCACACCTAGCCACTTGACACCATTAACCCCACACCTAACCACATGACACCATTAACCCTACATCTAACCACATGACACCATTAACCCACCACCTAACCACATGACACCACTAACCCTACACCTAACCACATGACACCATTAACCCACCACCTAACCACATGACACCATTAACCCTACACCTAACCACATGACACCATTAACCCTACACCTAACCACATGACACCATTAACCCACCACCTAACCACATGACACCATTAAACCACCACCTAACCACATGACACCATTAACCCTACATCTAACCACATGACACCATTAACCCACCACCTAACCACATGACACCATTAACCCACCACATGACACCATAATTCCACCATATGACACCATTAACCAACTACATGACACCATTAATCCTACACCTAACCACATGACACCACTAACCCTACACCTAACCACATGACACCACTAACCCTACACCTAACCACATGACACCATTAACCCACCACCTAACCACGTGACACCATTAACCCACCACCTAACCACATGACACCATTAACCCACCACATGACACCATAATTCCACCATATGACACCATTAACCAACTACATGACACCATTAATCCTACACCTAACCACATGACACCACTAACCCTACACCTAACCACATGACACCACTAACCCTACACCTAACCACATGACACCATTAACCCACCACCTAACCACATGACACCATTAACCCACCACCTAACCACATGACATCACTAACCCTACACCTAACCACATGACACCATTAACCCACCACCTAACCACATGACACCATTAACCCACCACATGACACCATAATTCCACCACATGACACCATTAACCAACTACATGACACCATTAATCCTACACCTAACCACATGACACCATTAACCCACCACCTAACCACGTGACACCATTAACCCACCACATGACACCATAATTCCTCCACCTGACACCATTAACCCACCACATGACACCATAATTCCACCACATGACACCATTAACCAACTACATGACACCATTAATCCTACACCTAACCACATGACACCACTAACCCTACACCTAACCACATGACACCATTAACCCAACACCTAACCACATGACACCATTAACCCACCACCTAACCACATGACACCATTAACCCACCACCTAACCATGTGACACCATTAACCCACCACATGACACCATAATTCCACCACATGACACCATTAACCAACCACATGACACCATTAATCCTACACCTAACCACATGACACCACTAACCCTACACCTAACCACATGACACCATTAACCCTACACCTAACCACATGACACCATTAACCCACCACCTAACCACATGACACCATTAACCCACCACCTAACCACATGACACCATTAACCCTACACCTAACAACATGACACCATTAAGCCTACACCTAACCACATGTCACCATTAACCATACACCTAACCACATGACACCATTAACCATACACCTAACCACATGACACCATTAACCCTACACCTAACCAACTGACACCATTAACCCTACACCTAACCACAAGACACCATAAACCCACCACAAGACACCATTAACCCTACACCTAACTACATGACACCATTAACCCTAACTGTTCCCTACACCTAACCACATTAACCCTACACCTAACCACTTTACACCATAAACCCACCACAAGACACTATTAACCCTACACCTAACCACATGACACCATTAACCCTACACCTAACCACATGACACCATAAACCCACCACATGACACCATTGACCCCACACCTAACCACAAGACACCATAAACCCACCATCATGATGTTCCTCTCCTTCTCCGTACTTAAAAGTTTGACCTGCAGCTGCTGTAACTGGCTGTTCAAATGTTTTTCTGTTGTCTCAAGCAGCTCTTTGGCTCTCTCAACCTCTCGTCTATGGTTGCGCTCCATTTGGCGCAGGGATATGACTGGTACATACAACATATGAGTGTTATATATAACAAATGACTGTTACATACAACATATGACTGTTATACACAACATGTGACTGTTATATACAACATATGACTGCTATATTCAACATATGACTGCTAGACACAATATATGACTGTTATATACAACATGAATCTGCTGTTTATATGAAAATATTAACTCTTACAAGAGTTAGCTCACCTGTCTGGTTACAAAAAATGTGACTTTTAACTGATTCTTAAGAAATAACTATACCACATTCTTTGCATGAACTGATAAAACCTAAAACTCATCATCTCATAAAATTTGTTCATGAAACCACAATAACAGCACATAAGCAAAAAATACACAAATAAAAACTCTAATCTTACCTGCTTTAGCATGTTCTCGTTTTGAATCATTTAATTTTCTTTCCAACTCTGACAATTTTTCTTGCCAAACGGCTTCATCTTTTAGTCTTTGGTCTCCCAGAACTTAAAGAGAAAGTTTCTAATGTTGTAACAGATTATACCATAATTGATTTTAAACCATCAAATAAAAATTACAAGCAGAGTAAGAAAAAAAATAAGTTGTTGAATTACCAGTTTCAAGCCCTTTAGCATGTCGGTCTAAATCTTTCTTCAGTTTTACAATAATTTCTGTCTTTTCCTGGTTTTCTTCCCTTAGAATGTGGAGCTCTTCAGTCAAGTGAGAGCACATCTGTAACAAGATGATAACAAACAGATTTGTTTGACCACAGTTACTGGCTCATACACAGAGACAAACATTTGAAAAAGTTTGTTGCGTATTATCTATGTTTAAAGAATTTAAGTCATTATCAACTGAATTTAAAGTTAGTGAAGTTGGTTTTAATAAATAATATAAACAGTGCAGCAAAGGCAGCTGGGCATAGTGATGACCACAGCGAATGCCAGGTAATTGAAATAGATGAACTCTACATCATCTGCGTCATGTGTCTTGGGTAGAACAGCAAATGATGATAATAAATATGATATACAATAGGACCAAGTATTGTAAAGTTGCCAGTTTGCTACCTTAAATATGATATACAATAGGACCAAGTTTTGTAAAGTTGCCAGTTTGTTACCTTAGACTTCTGCTGTACATCCAGTTCTAGCTCCTCCACTGTTTTCTTCAGGCTTGAGCTCTCTACAGCATCTGTCAAAGGGAAACAGGCAATTTGTTGTACACAGGAAACAGGCAATTTGTTGTACACAGGAAACAGGCAATTTGTTGTACACAGGAAACAGGCAATTTGTTGTACACAGGAAACTGGCAATTTGTTGTACACAGGAAACAGGCAATTTGTTGTACACAGGAAACAGGTAATTTGTTGTACACAGGAAACAGGCAATTTGTTGTACACAGGAAACAGGCATTTTGTTGTACACAGGAAACAGGCAATTTGTTGTACACAGGAAACAAATACAGTAAGTTTTCTTGGGGAAACATTTATGCTGTTGGCCATACGTTTTAGGACTAAAGCAGACAATCTGGCATACTGTGTACGTGTGCAGCCAATACAATATAAAGAAAAAATAATTATAAAATCTGAAATCATCTCACAAGAGTTCTTGAACTCTGTCAGTCTCTGTGTCCACCTGGTGGAATCTTCCTCAACCTGCAGCGCCAGAAGGTCACGTTCTTTCATCACTTTCTCCAGCTCTTGACACAGGTAGTTCTCACTGACGACAGAGACAGGTAATTAGTAGTACAGAGACAGGTAATTAGTACAGAGACAGGTAATTAGTAGTACAGAGACGGGTAATTAGTAGTACAGAGACAGGTAAGTAGTAGTACAGAGACAGGTAATTAGTAGTACAGAGACAGGTAAGTAGTAGTACAGAGATGGGTAATTAGTAGTACAGAGACAGGTAATTAGTAGTACAGAGACAGGTAAGTAATAGTACAGAGACAGGTAATTAGTAGTACAGAGACAGGTAATTAGTAGTACAGAGACAGGTAATTAGTAGTACAGAGACAGGTAAGTAGTAGTACAGAGATGGGTAATTAGTAGTACAGAGACAGGTAATTAGTAGCACAGAGACAGGTAATTAGTAGCACAGAGACGGGTAATTAGTAGCACAGAGACGGGTAGTTCTTACTAGCAAGGAGATACCAAATTACCCTTAGGACAATAAAACTAAATATGTAGTTTGTTAACTTGTCAAGCACCCCTCCATTAGGACAGGTGAAGTAGAGTTCACCTGGAACAATGCCGAAATCAATCAGTTGTGGCTCTTGTACATTCTCCAGTCTGGAGATGAGGATCCACTAACAAGTAGATTTAACCTGGATGTCTTTGGGTTTGTTCTTGTATGTTCTAGCCCTTGACCACCCAGCTTTGTTTATTTTGATGTGCAGTGAGTGAGTACACCAGGCAGAAAAAAAGTGTTTACCTTTTATCTGCAGGTGATGACTGGGGCTGGATGGGTTCATCCAGGCTAATGCTGAAAGCTGATTTCCTCATGAGTTGAGCTAGAGAGGATATGTGGAATCACATCAAGATTTCTACAATAAATCTTATTTATGTCAAGAAAAAATCCACAATTTGTATTACAATATGGCGAGGCAGTGAACTGAGATTATAAAATTTAGAAAATTATGTCTTTATACATTCCTTACTTGTGCTTTTAGTTCAGCAGTTAAAAAACTGACAAGAACCACTGAGGAAAGTTTCCCCTGTAGTGCACACTAAACAAATTCTATACCTTTTAACAGTTCCATGCGACTGGTTGCAAAACTAATGCGTTGACACATTGTCTTTAAAACTTTAGATTTCTCCTCAAGAATTTTCATCTTCTCTTCCATTTGTAGTTGGTTGCTGTACGGGATTAAGATACATTTGTAACCATTAATTGTTATACAGTTATACAGCAGTCAATGATTTTTAAGGCAAAAAATGATAGGACAAATCTCTGAGAATCAAACAATGCCAATAAACATTTGTTAAAATTTCAAACAAAAACACCACCAAACATCTGAACCAAATAAAAACTGACCTCAACACAAAATCTGAATAAAAAAAAAACTGACCTCAACACAAAATCTGCATCAAATAAAAACTGACCTCTGTACAAACTCCACAAGAGACAAAAACTGACCTCTGTACAAACTCCACAAGAGACAAAAACTGACCTCTGTACAAACTCCACAAGAGACAAAAACTGACCTCTGTACAAACTCCACAAGAGACAAAAACTGACCTCTGTACAAACTCCACAAGAGACAAAAACTGACCTCTGTACAAACTCCACAAGAGACAAAAACTGACCTCTGTACAAACTCCACAAGAGACAAAAACTGACCTCTGTACAAACTCCACAAGACAAAAACTGACCTCTGTACAAACTCCACAAGAGACAAAAACTGACCTCTGTACAAACTCCACCAGAGACAAAAACTGACCTCTGTACAAACTCCACAAGAGACAAAAACTGACCTCTGTACAAACTCCACAAGAGACAAAAACTGACCTCTGTACAAACTCCACAAGAGACAAAAACTGACCTCTGTACAAACTCCACCAGAGACAAAAACTGACCTCTGTACAAACTCCACAAGAGACAAAAACTGACCTCTGTACAAACTCCACCAGAGACAAAAACTGACCTCTGTACAAACTCCACAAGAGACAAAAACTGACCTCTGTACAAACTCCACCAGAGACAAAAACTGACCTCTGTACAAACTCCACAAGAGACAAAAACTGACCTCTGTACAAACTCCACAAGAGACAAAAACTGACCTCTGTACAAACTCCACAAGAGACAAAAACTGACCTCTGTACAAACTCCACAAGAGACAAAAACTGACCTCTGTACAAACTCCACAAGAGACAAAAACTGACCTCTGTACAAACTCCACAAGAGACAAAAACTGACCTCTGTACAAAATCCACAAGAGACAAAAACTGACCTCTGTACAAAATCCACAAGAGACAAAAACTGACCTCTGTACAAACTCCACAAGAGACAAAAACTGACCTCTGTACAAAATCCACAAGAGACAAAAACTGACCTCTGTACAAACTCCACAAGAGACAAAAACTGACCTCTGTACAAACTCCACAAGAGACAAAAACTGACCTCTGTACAAACTCCACAAGAGACAAAAACTGACCTCTGTACAAACTCCACAAGAGACAAAAACTGACCTCTGTACAAACTCCACAAGAGACAAAAACTGACCTCTGTACAAACTCCACAAGAGACAAAAACTGACCTCTGTACAAACTCCACAAGAGACAAAAACTGACCTCTGTACAAACTCCACAAGAGACAAAAACTGACCTCTGTACAAACTCCACAAGAGACAAAAACTGACCTCTGTACAAACTCCACAAGAGACAAAAACTGACCTCTGTACAAACTCCACAAGAGACAAAAACTGACCTCTGTACAAACTCCACAAGAGACAAAAACTGACCTCTGTACAAACTCCACAAGAGCCATCACACAAAAACTGACCTCTGTACAAACTCCACAAGAGCCATCACACAAAAACTGACCTCTGTACAAACTCCACAAGAGCCATCACACAAAAACTGACCTCTGTACAAACTCCACAAGAGACAAAAACTGACCTCTGTACAAACTCCACAAGAGACAAAAACTGACCTCTGTACAAACTCCACAAGAGACAAAAACTGACCTCTGTACAAACTCAACAAGAGACAAAAACTGACCTCTGTACAAACTCCACTAGAGACAAAAACTGACCTCTGTACAAACTCCACAAGAGACAAAAACTGACCTCTGTACAAACTCCACAAGAGACAAAAACTGACCTCTGTACAAACTCCACAAGAGACAAAAACTGACCTCTGTACAAACTCCACAAGAGACAAAAACTGACCTCTGTACAAACTCCACAAGAGACAAAAACTGACCTCTGTACAAACTCCACAAGACAAAAACTGACCTCTGTACAAACTCCACAAGAGACAAAAACTGACCTCTGTACAAACTCCACAAGAGACAAAAACTGACCTCTGGACAAACTCCACAAGAGACAAAAACTGACCTCTGTACAAACTCCACAAGAGACAAAAACTGACCTCTGTACAAACTCCACAAGAGACAAAAACTGACCTCTGTACAAACTCCACAAGACAAAAACTGACCTCTGTACAAACTCCACAAGAGACAAAAACTGACCTCTGTACAAACTCCACAAGAGACAAAAACTGACCTCTGGACAAACTCCACAAGAGACAAAAACTGACCTCTGTACAAACTCCACAAGAGACAAAAACTGACCTCTGGACAAACTCCACAAGAGACAAAAACTGACCTCTGTACAAACTCCACAAGAGACAAAAACTGACCTCTGGACAAGCTCCACAAGACAAAAACTGACCTCTGTACAAAATCCACAAGAGACAAAAACTGACCTCTGTACAAAATCCACAAGAGACAAAAACTGACCTCTGTACAAACTCCACAAGAGACAAAAACTGACCTCTGGACAAACTCCACAAGACAAAAACTGACCTCTGTACAAAATCCACAAGAGACAAAAACTGACCTCTGTACAAACTCCACAAGAGACAAAAACTGACCTCTGTACAAACTCCACAAGAGACAAAAACTGACCTCTGTACAAACTCCACAAGAGACAAAAACTGACCTCTGTACAAACTCCACAAGAGACAAAAACTGACCTCTGTACAAACTCCACCAGAGACAAAAACTGACCTCTGTACAAACTCCACAAGAGACAAAAACTGACCTCTGGACAAACTCCACAAGAGACAAAAACTGACCTCTGTACAAACTCCACAAGAGACAAAAACTGACCTCTGTACAAACTCCACAAGACAAAAACTGACCTCTGTACAAACTCCACAAGACAAAAACTGACCTCTGTACAAACTCCACAAGAGACAAAAACTGACCTCTGTACAAACTCCACAAGAGACAAAAACTGACCTCTGTACAAACTCCACAAGAGACAAAAACTGACCTCTGTACAAACTCCACAAGAGACAAAAACTGACCTCTGGACAAACTCCACAAGAGACAAAAACTGACCTCTGTACAAACTCCACAAGACAAAAACTGACCTCTGTACAAACTCCACAAGAGACAAAAACTGACCTCTGTACAAACTCCACAAGAGACAAAAACTGACCTCTGTACAAACTCCACAAGACAAAAACTGACCTCTGTACAAACTCCACAAGAGACAAAAACTGACCTCTGTACAAACTCCACAAGAGACAAAAACTGACCTCTGGACAAACTCCACAAGAGACAAAAACTGACCTCTGTACAAACTCCACAAGAGACAAAAACTGACCTCTGTACAAACTCCACAAGAGACAAAAACTGACCTCTGTACAAACTCCACAAGACAAAAACTGACCTCTGTACAAACTCCACAAGAGACAAAAACTGACCTCTGTACAAACTCCACAAGAGACAAAAACTGACCTCTGGACAAACTCCACAAGAGACAAAAACTGACCTCTGTACAAACTCCACAAGAGACAAAAACTGACCTCTGGACAAACTCCACAAGAGACAAAAACTGACCTCTGTACAAACTCCACAAGAGACAAAAACTGACCTCTGGACAAACTCCACAAGACAAAAACTGACCTCTGTACAAAATCCACAAGAGACAAAAACTGACCTCTGTACAAAATCCACAAGAGACAAAAACTGACCTCTGTACAAACTCCACAAGAGACAAAAACTGACCTCTGGACAAACTCCACAAGACAAAAACTGACCTCTGTACAAAATCCACAAGAGACAAATACTGACCTCTGTACAAACTCCACAAGAGACAAAAACTGACCTCTGTACAAACTCCACAAGAGACAAAAACTGACCTCTGGACAAACTCCACAAGAGACAAAAACTGACCTCTGTACAAACTCCACAAGAGACAAAAACTGACCTCTGTACAAACTCCACAAGACAAAAACTGACCTCTGTACAAACTCCACAAGACAAAAACTGACCTCTGTACAAACTCCACAAGAGACGAAAACTGACCTCTGTACAAACTCCACAAGAGACAAAAACTGACCTCTGTACAAACTCCACAAGAGACAAAAACTGACCTCTGTACAAACTCCACAAGAGACAAAAACTGACCTCTGGACAAACTCCACAAGAGACAAAAACTGACCTCTGTACAAACTCCACAAGAGACAAAAACTGACCTCTGTACAAACTCCACAAGAGACAAAAACTGACCTCTGTACAAACTCCACCAGAGACAAAAACTGACCTCTGTACAAACTCCACAAGAGACAAAAACTGACCTCTGTACAAACTCCACAAGAGACAAAAACTGACCTCTGTACAAACTCCACAAGAGACAAAAACTGACCTCTGTACAAACTCCACTAGAGACAAAAACTGACCTCTGTACAAACTCCACAAGAGACAAAAACTGACCTCTGTACAAACTCCACAAGAGACAAAAACTGACCTCTGTACAAACTCAACAAGAGACAAAAACTGACCTCTGTACAAACTTCACAAGAGACAAAAACTGACCTCTGTACAAACTCCACAAGAGACAAAAACTGACCTCTGTACAAACTCCACAAGAGACAAAAACTGACCTCTGTACAAACTCCACCAGAGACAAAAACTGACCTCTGTACAAACTCCACAAGAGACAAAAACTGACCTCTGTACAAACTCCACAAGACACAAAAACTGACCTCTGTACAAACTCCACAAGAGACAAAAACTGACCTCTGTACAAACTCCACAAGAGACAAAAACTGACCTCTGTACAAACTCCACCAGAGACAAAAACTGACCTCTGTACAAACTCCACAAGAGACAAAAACTGACC